ATAACCTCCTACTTTCTTGAATTTGGGAATCTAAGTACATAACTAGTTTTAACTTCTCAGTCTTCGTGGGTACGTCCTCGTACTTGTCTTGCTATACTACTAATTGCTCCGTACAATTGCGAGTTAACATAATATTAACAACAGTTAGCTATCTTGGTTTGAATTAAGAGTATACACCATGCTTTAATTCGAATTGAACTATGAAATGGAAGAGTATGTATGGACATTCGACAACAGGGATTAGATACATGCTTGGTTGTTTAAATTGTTCTTCTATGTTTAATGGGTTCCTAATGCTTAATTTTAGGTTAGACAACAGATGATCAAATTAGGGAATTAGGAACACAAGGTTAGGACCAAACACCATGGCCTAATCATACTTTAGCTAGAATCAATCTTTGAATCTGAATTAGACTTGTTACTTGAATCTTTATAACCCAGAATTGAATTGTTATGGTGATTCGAATGCCCTAGTCTCAAAATCTGTTTTCCAACTCTTAAGACCACTCTTTGTTACATTTGTTTACTTGTTTTTGTTTCAAATTTTATTTTGCTTCTTTTGTTCAACAATCACAACCACTCTTGTTTTAAATTCTGTTTTAGATATAACCTCCTACTTTCTTGAATTTGGGAATCTAAGTACATAACTAGTTTTAACTTCTCAGTCTTCGTGGGTACGTCCTCGTACTTGTCTTGCTATACTACTAATTGCTCCGTACAATTGCGAGTTAACATAATATTAACAACAGTTAGCTATCTTGGTTTGAATTAAGAGTATACACCATGCTTTAATTCGAATTGAACTATGAAATGGAAGAGTATGTATGGACATTCGACAACAGGGATTAGATACATGCTTGGTTGTTTAAAATGTTCTTCTATGCTTAATGGGTTCCTAATGCTTAATTTTAGGTTAGACAACAAATGATCAAATTAGGGAATTAGGAACACAAGGTTAGGACCAAACACCATGGCCTAATCATACTTTAGCTAGAATCAATCTTTGAATCTGAATTAGACTTGTTACTTGAATCTTTATAACCCAGAATTGAATTGTTATGGTGATTCGAATGCCCTAGTCTCAAAATCTGTTTTCCAACTCTTAAAACCACTCTTTGTTACATTTGTTTACTTGTTTTTGTTTGAAATTTCATTTTGCTTCTTTTGTTCAACAATCACAACCACTCTTGTTTTAAATTCTGTTTTAGACATAACCTCCTACTTTCTTGAATTTGGGAATCTAAGTACATAACTAGTTTTAACTTCTCAGTCTTCGTGGGTACGACCTCGTACTTGTCTTGCTATACTACTAATTGCCCCGTACAATTGCGAGTTAACATAATATTAACAACAATGACCCCACAGCAAGGAAACTACGTCTTACGAGAAATTCACGAAGGAGCCTACGGGGACCATTCTGGGGCCCGATCTCTAGCCTTCAAGACCATTCGGCAAGGGTATTATTGACCAACTCTTCATGCCGATGCTACTAAACTCGTCCAGAAGTGTGACCATTGCCAGCGTTTTCGTTCCATTCCAAAACTGCCTGCCGAACCGCTCACTCTGATTGTCAGCCCATGGCCCTTCGCTCAATGGGGTTTGGATCTTATCGGCCCCATGCCCCAAGGAAAGGGACAGCTTAAATTCGCCATCGTCGCCGTCGACTACTTTACAAAGTGGACCGAGGCCGAAGCATTGGCAACCATCACCGCAGCCAGGGTTGAGCACTTCGTGTGGAAGAACATAATTTGTCGGTTCGGCTTCCCGAACGCAATCATCACCGACAACGGTAAACAATTCGACTCATCTCAATTTCGGCACCTATGCCACCGATTCAACATCAACTTGTTCTTCGCATCTCCAGCGCACCCACAATCAAACGGCCAGGTAGAAGCCATCAACAAGATCATCAAGAAGACACTGAAGAAGAAGCTTGGGGCAGCTAAAGGAGCCTGGCCCGATTTGCTCCCAGAGGCGTTATGGGCCATCAACACCTCCTACTGACGGTCGACTGGCGAAATGCCGTTTTCCTTTGCTTTTGGTACCGAAGCTGTTGTCCCAGTCGAAATCAACGCACCCGCGTGCCTAACGACATCTTGCACGCCAGAGCGAAATGAGATGCTGCTTGCACTCAACCTTGACCTCATCGAAGAACACCGTTCCCAGGCTCAGCTTCGGAATGCCGCCTACAAACAAAGGACTTCCCGATACTACGATTCGCGCGTCAAACGCCAATCGTTCAAAGTGGGTGACTGGGTTTTACGCAAATTTTCTCTCGCCACCAAGGACTCCAACGAAGGCACCCTTGGCCCTTCATGGGAAGGTCCTTATGAGGTCGTCACCGTCTGCCGACCGGGAACTTACCGATTGCGCGGTACCGATGGCCATTGATCAATGCATAATTCTGTATCATTTTGTAACACTCTACCCCATTGTTTGGTTATGTTTTTAAGTAAAACTTGTGCTTTTAATCCATTTTGTGTTTGTTATTCAGTTCATTGAGCTCTAGGTACCACTTGAGGCATTTGAAGCAAAATGGTGCAAAAACGTGCAAAAACTGGTGGTCATGGTGAGCTAGGCATGAGCTATTGGTTTCTGATGGAAGCTTGGTCATGCTGACATGAGGATGAGCTATGGCTGCTGGTGGGATTTGTTGGAGAAGTGCAATAACCATTTCTGATTATCTAATGCAAGTGTGTTAGGTCATTGCTATATTCTATTCTGATTTCTCACTTCCCTCTCCCTATAAATACCACTTCCATTCCAAACACTTTCATCAATCAAATTCTGGGATTCACACTCTCTCTCTTCCAATTCCTAGCAGACCACTCTTTCCAGCACAATCCCCTCTCAAACATTCATCCTCCACCCTCCCATCATTTCCAAAACACAATTCATACCATCCACACCACTCTTCATCTCTTGCTGCAGCATATATGGTGGAAGTTGTGAGGAGCTCTACAACAACATAATTCGTTCTTCATGGGTTTTTCTTACTCTCTCCATGTTTATTATGTTTCAAATGCATTTTGTATTAATGGAGTGTAACTAATTACCATAGCTAGGGTTTCAATGTAACCTGACAAGACAATTTCATGTTTTCAAGTTAATGTTACTCTTGTTGATTACTTCTAATTTTCTGGTCTCATTCACTTGTTCTTAGTTGAATCTTTATGCATGTTTAAATAACTGGCCACTATGAACACATGCATGTTGGTTATCTAGTTCAAGTTTACATAAACACCATATGACTCTTGAACCGATTAGTAAATGAGTGGGTAATGCATTTAGGACAAACACCATGTTTAAATGTTTACTTGGTTCCTTTGTGTTCTTCTTAAGCTTAATGGATTTAGATTCATAGCTTAGACTAAACACCATAGCTAAGTTGTGTTTTCTGAGTACTTGATTAAAACCAAACACCATATGGATAATCATACATAAGAAAGAACGAACTCCAGAAATTGTAATCAACTTATGTGATTGTTAACTTATTGCTTGAAATTGGATTGTCATGGTGAAGTTGAAACCCTAGTGCTTGTCTCCTTTGTCTCTACATTTTTCTAAACATCTACTTGCTGGTTACTTGCTATTTTGCATTCCCTTTAGTAGTTTTCAATCATTTGCTATTTGCTTTTCCCTTTTTGTAGTTGTTACTCCAAACAAACTCAACACAACCTCATTTAAATTCTGTTTAGTCTTAGGATTACTTGTGAGTCTAAGTAGTAGTAATAAGTCTCTTTCATCCAAGTCTCTGTGGAACGACCTCGTTCTTGCATTCCTATACTATAATTGGTTCGTGCACTTGCGAGAATTAGATAGAGTAAAATCTATCCAACAAGAAAATGGCGCCGCTGCCGGGGACTTGATTAAGAGTCTTGTTACTATTATTTACTCTCTTTAGTTTTTCTTTGTTTTCAGGTATTGCATGTCGAGCAAACCATTGCTTGAACAAGTTGTATCAGCGGTCAAGAAACACTCTCAATCTGGAACCATTAGGATCCAACCAATCCGTGGTACACAACAACCATCACTGGCTGAATTTGAACAAAGGCTTGTTAAAGCAAGGGAGGCAGCCATTGAATCTATTCTCAATCCCTTAGAAGCAGAAACCTCAAATTCAGCAAGCTCAGAAGAGTACTCTCTGTTCAACATCTTTAACTCAGATCAAGAAGAAGAAGAAGAAGAAAAGATGGCAGCCAATGACCAACGTGCTTTGGAGGATCTTGCTCAACCAATCATACCAAATTCACCTTCATGCATCTTGCTGCCCACAGAAGCTAGAAACTATGAGCTTAAATCTTCTCACTTTCAAATGCTTCCTTCTTTTTATGGTTTACCTAACGAAGATCCTTTGGCTCACATTAAAGAATTTTATACTGTTGTTTGTACTTTGACTTTGAAGGATATGTCTGAAGCAAATTTGAGGATGAGGGTTTTCCCTTACACTTTGAAAGATAGAGCAAAGACTTGGTTGATGTCATTAACCCCTGGATCACTAACCACTTGGGATGCTGTTGCTAAGAAGTTCTTGGAGAAGTTTTTCTCCGCCCAAAAGACAGCCACCTTGAGGTCCAAGATTTTCAACTTCTCACAACATGATGGCGAACCATTCAACGAATGCTGGGAGCGTTTCAAAGGAACTCTAATGCAATGTCCACATCATGGGTTACCTCTATACTTACAAATGCAAATTTTTTATGATGGACTAACCGAAACTTGTCAATCTACTGTAAATAATGCTGCAGGTGGAGCTTTAAAGAAAAAGAATGCTCAAGAGTCATATGACATATTTGAGATGTTAGGATCCAATGCTCAACACAAAGATACAAGAGGTAAGGCTGGTATCTATGAGATTAGTCCTAACAATGAGCTTGCTTCACAGGTGGCTGGTTTACAAAGGAAGCTTGACGCCGTGCTCAATATGGTACCTAAAGCTCCTCAAGTTGAAGTTTGTGCTATTTGCAATGTTCAAGGACACTCAACTCACATGTGTTCAGCTAGTAATGCTTATCCCGAGTTTGTCCAAGAACAAGCCCACATGATGAATTCTTACAACCAAAGGCCAAGAAATGACCCCTTCTCGAACACTTATAATCCTGGTTGGAGGAATCACCCAAATTTCTCTTGGAGCAACAATCAAAATAAAAATCAAGCAAGTTCATCATTCCAGCCTAAACCAAGTTCATTGGAGGACACAGTCAAAATGTTGGCCCAAAATACTTTGCAATTCCAGCAAACTACTAATGGTGCTCTTCAACAACATTCTGCTGCCCTTACTAAGATGGAGATTCAATTGGGACAAATTGCTGATACTTTGAAACAAAGGGAACCTGGAAAATTCCCTAGCCAACCAAATGTGAATCCCAAGCATCATGAGCAAGTCAAAGCAATCTCAGTTCTCAGAAGTGGTAAGGTTATTGATAATAAAGTTGGCAAAGAAATTACTAATCATGATGTCGTGAATGCAGGTGATGAACGCAAGGAAGAGACGACACCAAAAGAAGCAATTCCTATTGGCACGTCAACAATTTCACCTATATTGCACAAGGCCGAGAACCCTTATGTGCCACCAATTCCTTTTCCTGGACGTCTTGCTAAAAGAAAATAGGATAAGTCTTCTACTGAAATCTATGATATACTTAGTAAAGTCAATGTTAACTTGCCTTTACTTGATGTGATCAGGAACATGCCAACTTATGCTAAATTTTTTAAGGAGTTGAACTCACACAAGAGAAGGTATAGTCCTCATGAGAAGGTGTTGGTGTCTGAAAATGTGAGTGCTGTCCTTCAAAGAAAACTTCCTCCAAAGCTCAAGGATCCAGGTAGTTTTACCATCGGCATAACCATTGGAGATAAACGAGCTGAGAAAGCCATGTTGGATTTAGGTGCAAGTATCAATATAATGCCTTATTCAGTGTACTTGCAACTAGGTTTGGGATGTCTGAAAATGTGAGTGCTGTCCTTCAAAGAAAACTTCCTCCTAAGCTCAAGGATCCAGGCAGTTTTACCATCGGCATAACCATTGGAGATAAACGAGCTGAGAAAGCCATGTTGGATTTAGGTGCAAGTATCAATCTAATGCCTTATTCAGTGTACTTGCAACTTGGTTTGGGGAAGTTAAAATCCACCACACTCAGCTTACAACTTGCTGATCGCTCAGTGAAATATCCTAGAGGTATAGTTGAAGATATTTTGGTTCAAGTTGATAAGCTAATATTGCCTGCTGATTTTGTAGTGTTAGACATGGAAGATGCACCCATTCATGATCGTGAGCTACCTATCTTGCTTGGAAGACCATTCATAGACACAGCAAACACTCTTATTGATGTGAAAAATGGCATTCTGAAAATGACAGTCCTTGGCCAAACCATAGAATTCAAAGTGGTTGAATCCTTAACTCATCCTTCTAATTCACTTGATTGTTTTTCAATTGATAGTTTGGATTCCTTGGTTTTGTCTAAGTTTGTGCAGGCACAATCTGATGATGCTTTAGAAATTGTTTTGACACAACCTTTAGGTGACCTTGATGATGAATCTGAGTTCATTGAAGTGGCGGCTGCCCTTGAGGTTTTGAAACCATTCCATTCTTCCATTTCACCCATTGTTGAACCTCTTATACCTGCCACCACTAAACTAGTTCCCTCCATTGTCAAGCCACCTAAACTTGAGCTAAAACCTCTTCCACAACACCTTAAATATGTTTATCTTGGTGAGACAGAAACCCTTCCCATCATTATAGCTTCTGACCTTTCACCATTAGAGGAGGATAAGTTGATTGCAGTTTTGAGAGAGCACAAGAATGCCATTGGATGGACCATTGCAGATATCAAGGGAATAAGCCCTACAATGTGCATGCATCGAATTTTGATGGAGGATGCCAAGCCAACTCGTGAGCCCCAAAGGAGACTCAACCCACATATGAAGGATGTTGTAAGAACTGAAATACTCACATTACTTGATGTAGGAATCATTTATCCTATTTCAGAAGTGGCATCTGCCCTTGAGGTTTCGAAGCCATTTGATTCTTCCATTTCACCCATTGTTGAACCTCTTATACCTGCCACCACTAAACTAGTTCCCTCCATTGTCAAGCCACCTAAACTTGAGCTAAAACCTCTTCCACAACACCTTAAATATGTTTATCTTGGTGAGACAGAAACCCTTCCCATCATTATTGCTTCTGACCTTTCACCACTAGAGGAGGATAAGTTGATTACAGTTTTGAGAGAGCACAAGAATGCCATCGGATGGACCATTGCAGATATCAAGGGAATAAGCCCTACAATGTGCATGCATAGAATTTTGATGGAGGATGCCAAGCCAACTCGTGAGCCCCAAAGGAGACTCAACCCACATATGAAGGATGTTGTAAGAACTGAAATACTCAAATTACTTGATGTAGGAATCATTTATCCTATTTCAGATAGCAAATGGGTGAGTCCTATCCAAGTTGTGCCAAAGAAGTCAGGCATCACAGTGGTCAAGAATGAGGACAATGAGCTGGTGCCAACAAGACCCATCACGGGATGGAGAGTTTGCATTGATTATCGGAAGCTAAACACTGCCACTAGAAAGGATCACTTTCCTTTGCCTTTTATTGATCAAATGCTTGAAAGGCTAGCTGGTCACTCACATTATTGTTTCCTTGATGGTTTTTCAGGTTACAATCAAATTGCAATAGCCCCTGAGGATCAAGAGAAGACAACATTCACCTGCCCTTTTGGAACCTTTACGTATAGACGAATGCCATTTGGTTTATGCAATGCCCCAGCTACCTTCCAACGATGCATGATGGCTATCTTTTCAGACATGATAGAGAGGTTCATTGAGGTATTTATGGATGACTTTTCAGTTTTTGGATCCTCTTTCGATGATTGTCTTAACCACTTGTCATTAGTGCTTCAAAGATGCCAGGAAACTAATCTAATTATGAATTGGGAAAAGTGTCACTTCATGGTGAAGCAAGGTATTGTGTTAGGCCATGCTATTTCCAGCAAAGGTATTGAGGTAGACAAAGCAAAGATTGATTTGATTTCTAATTTGCCATCCCCTACTTCAGTGAAGGGTGTGAGGAGTTTTCTAGGACATGCAGGTTTTTATCGTCGTTTTATTAAGGATTTCTCCAAAATCACTCGTCCTCTATGCAATCTTTTGGCTAAAGATTCTGTTTTCAACTTTGATAAAGATTGTTTGGATGCATTTAACACTTTGAAACTTGAACTAACATCAACTCCAATTATTAAGGCACCAGATTCGTCTTTACCTTTCGAATTAATGTGTGATGCTTCTGACTATGCTCTTGGTGCAGTTCTAGGTCAAAGAGTGAATAAGCTCCCTCATGTCATCTATTATGCAAGCCGAACATTAAATGATGCTCAGCTCAATTACTCAACAACTGAGAAGGAGTTGCTTGCTGTAATTTTTGCTTTAGAGAAGTTTCGTTCATATCTTGTTGGTTCTAAAGTGATTGTCTATTCTGACCATGCAGCACTTAGGTACTTGTTAACCAAGAAGGATGCTAAGCCACGCTTGCTTCGATGGGTATTGCTGTTGCAAGAATTTGATTTAGAAATCCGAGATAAGAAAGGGTGTGAGAATGTTGTTGCTGATCATCTCTCTCGTCTCATCGATGGTAACCACGAGAATGAAGATGTCCTGCCCCTCAATGAATCTTTTCCAGATGAACAACTATTGGCCATTCATGATCAAGAACCATGGTATGCTGATCTTGTTAATTATCTTGCTAGTGGTGTTTTGAGAGATGATCTAACTTTTCAGGAAAGAAAGAAGTTCCTTGCGACAGCCAAACATTACTTATGGGATGATCCATATCTGTTCAAACATGGCCCCGACCAAATCATAAGGAGGTGTATCCCAGAGAATGAGCAGCAAAGCATACTCAAGTTTAGTCACGAATTTGCATGTGGAGGTCATTTTGGTGCCAAGAAAACAGCAGCTAAGGTTCTTCAATCTGGTTTCTTTTCGCCCTCTCTTTTTAAAGATGCATTCTATTTCTGTTCTAAATGTGATAGGTGTCAAAGAATGGGAAACATAAGCCGGAGGAATATGATGCCACTGAACAACATTTTGGTGGTGGAGCTATTTGACATATGGGGTATAGATTTCATGGGACCTTTTCCTTCCTCTTTGGGTTATACTTACATTCTTGTTGCTGTAGATTATGTATCCAAATGGGTGGAGGCATTGGCTACAAGGACTAATGATCATAAAGTTGTCCTGAAATTCCTGAAAGATGTGATTTTCACTAGGTTTGGAACTCCTAGGGCTGTCATTAGTGATGGTGGCAGCCACTTCTGTAACAAACCATTTGAGGCCTTAATGAAAAAGTACAATATCACACATAGAGTGGCAACTCCATATCATCCTCAAACTTCCGGACAAGTCGAGATCAGCAATAGAGAGATCAAGAATATTTTGGAGAAAACTGTCAATCCAACTCGAAAAGATTGGGCATTGCGACTCAATGATGCACTTTGGGCATATAGGACAGCTTATAAGACTCCCATTGGGATGAGCCCTTATAGACTTGTGTTTGGGAAGGCTTGTCACCTACCAATGGAACTTGAGCACAGAGCATATTGGGCAATTAAAAAGTTCAATTTTGATCTCAAAGAAGCTGGGAATGTCAGAAAATTGCAAATCAATGAATTGGAGGAGCTAAGGAGCGAAGATCTACAAAGAGAGGACCAAACGCTATCATGACAAGGCCATCCTCAGGAAAGAATTCAAGCCAGGTATGAAAGTTTTGTTGTATGACTCACGCTTACGTCTCTTTCCAGGTAAATTGAAATCTAGATGGCTGGGGCCTTTCAAGGTGCTTCAAGTTTTCCCTCATGGAGCTGTTGAGATTGAGAACCTAAGGGATGGGACAACTTTCAAGGTGAATGGGCAGCGATTGAAACAATACTTGGATGATGTTGTGGAAACACAAGTTGTGGACTCCCTTGAGTTCACCACACCCTAACTATTTGCAATACCAGGTTATGTTGTTTTTATTTTAGTTAGAGTTGTTTCCTTTCGTGCATTTTATGTCTAGTATGTTTTTTCATTGTGTTTCCTTTCTTTTAAACATTGAGGACAATGTTTCATTCAGGTTTGGGGTGTGGGATGAAACTTGTTGAATTTTTGAGTCTGTTGTTGAATTTCTGAGTCTTAGTGAAAGATTTCTTTTTGCTTACTAATTAAGATGTATATGCAATGTCATTGTCACTAATTCTTTGCTAATGTGTTGCCATGAAAGTGTTTGCATCAGAATTTCTGCCGTACACACTGTCACACAATTGGAATTTTGGTTCACAAGGTGCCATACTCATATATCTTTAGAAGAATGGTGGAGACTACCCTAGGGAGCTAATTTGAGCCTATTCCATTCCTTGAGAGGGTTTTATTTGTTTTTACTCTTACAACTTCTCAGATTTCTTTTATGTTGATCTCATTATATTCATCGAATACTAAGAACTATTTGATCTTTTACAGATACTATGTTGCTTGCTGACATTTGTGGAAAGGATGTACCCATTGATATGATGTAGGCTATGTGTGTTTAAGTCACCAAAAGGCTTTGATATCTTTCCTTATTGTGTGCTTCCTTTACCCAATTTTGCATCCAAACACTTAAGCCTTTCTTTCATCACCCACATTACTCCTACCCTTGTATCTTAATCTAAGATACCATCCCTTGTTTAGCCATACCCTATAACTGGAGAACATGTCAAGATCTCAACAAAATGAAGAAGCAAGGATGGGCATTATACCAAACAAATGGAGAGAATCAGTGTGCTAGTGCAATTCAAGGAGAAATGCAAAAGAGGGCCAAATTCGTTTAAAAAAAACAAAACAAAACATGTGATTGATCAAAGTTCAAATTCAGTTCAAAGAAGCACAAGTCATTGCCTTGGAGATTCAAAAAGTATAGCCATTTACCTTTCAGCAAGAAGAAGCACTCTTGGCATGTTCTTGAGTTCTTAGTTTTCATTTCCCTTCTTTTCATAACCCCTACCCTCAGCCTGACATTAAAAGCTTGATTAAGACCTAACTGATCTTTGGGGAAGTCCGGTTCATGGGTGCTGGTATGCAATGTATTCTTTCTTTGTTCTTAGCATTTGATTTCCTTTCTTGAGATCTTATTTCCAGAAATCGTTCTTTTGTTTTATGATTATTTCATATGTGAAATCTTGTTTCCCTTTACATAATGTCACTCACATATGCTTGTTGAGAAACTAAACCCTAGGTTCTTTGTGAAGATTTGAGCGATACCCGTGAGACCTAGAGTTGAGGCGATTTCTATCTAAGTATTTGAGTACGGTGACTTCAATGCTGGAATTCCTTTTGCAGTGGCGATACACTATACACCCTGATGTGAAGATCTGAAGTGGCATGCCATTAGTTTTGAAAGTGTGATTGTGCATTCATTGGTTTTCCTTAGTTTGTTTAAAAGTGATTCTTTAACTATCAGTTGTCTTGCAGAATTTGTTGATGTTTGTGGGAGTCATCACTGTAAACCCTCAGGAGACACAACTCCTCCTACTAGGGACACCTAGAGGTTTAAAGGCTTATTGCATATGCTCAATGCAATCGTGTCATCTACGAAAATGGTGTAATAAGTTTCATTTTGTGTGTTGTTTTGTGGTGTTTAAGTTTTAGTTTTGCTTGAGGACCAGCAAAATATAGGTTTGGGGTATTGATCAATGCATAATTCTGTATCATTTTGTAACACTCTATCATTTTGTAACACTCTACCCTATTGTTTGGTTATGTTTTTAAGTAAAACTTGTGTCTTTTAATCCATTTTGTGTTTGTTATTCAGTTCATTGAGCTCTAGGTACCACTTGAGGCATTTGAAGCAAAATGATGCAAAAACGTGCAAAAACTGGAGACTGAGTTAGAAATTCATTTCGGACCTATCTTCTTCATCTGAACTTGGATTGGGCCAATGCTTGTGTGGTTGGATCAGAGACATTCTGAACTTCAAAATGGACATCTTAAAGTCATCATTTGATTCAGCCTAGCCCAATTCGTAAGCCCAAGAAGTTGTTCATCATGCTGACA